GTTGCCGCTGTGCTGTGAGGCCGGGGTGGCACATGCACCCATCCAGAGCGCGGGCTGCTTCGCGCCCAGCCAGACCCTTTTGCATGCACGCGCAGTGACACGGTGTGACGACATCGTCCTTGCAGGCTGGGGCTGAACGCGCGGCTGAGCTGGACCCCCTCACCTGTTATAAATGTACTCTGAAGCAAAGTGGTTCTGAGCAGGGTGAGCGAAGCGAGGACAGGCGGCCGCGCTCAGAGAGGAGACGGAGACGGCGGCGACACGCGAAAGGCGATCGCTTATCTGGTGGGCGGAGAGTATTCCGCTTGCAGCCGCCGACGCGCGCGGCGCCGGCGGCCGCCTTGCGCCGCAATCCGCAGTGCCACGTGAGCTGTTGCCTCTTTGCATGCACGTGAATCTGCAGTCCTGTGCTTGAAGTGATCCAGCCAAGCTACAGGTACGCCCCCTCAGCCCTGAGCACGATTTGCCAAAGTTTTGAGTGATAATCCAGCCACGCCCCCCCCCCAAGCACCTTGATGACCTTGTCCTCCACCACGCCCATGCGGGTCTCCTCCACGGCCATCTTGGCCAGGGGGATGCGCGCCCCGTTGGCGGCCATCGCGGCCTGCGGTGGGGTTTAGCGGCGGCGGCGGCAGAAGCGGCGTGGAGTCGGGTGTGGGATGAGGGGCGGGGGCAGGGTTGGGCGGGGGCGCGCCCGCGGCCGTGACTCGCGCGACGCGCGCGTGCGACGCGCAAACCCTTGCGAAACCCTTTTCGAGGGTCCCCGACGATCCGGGCTGCGTCGCATGCGGCGAATGTCCAGTTGCCGCGCTCACCGCCTTGAAAATCTTGTCCACTTGCTCCTGCAATGGGAGCGTTGATCGGACGAGAGAGAGGCACCGTGGGTTTCCTGCCGGGCTCCCTGCCCGGGTGCGCGCGGCATGCCGCGCCGCGCCCAGTCCGCAACCCTAGGACAGGCCGCTGTCTCCCGCGGCTGCGCCCAGCCTCTGCTGCCGGCCCGCGTCCGGCCGCGGCCCCGGTCCTGGGGCGTCCCGGGCAGTCCAGTCCGCGCACCTGGCTGAAGTGCGAGTACTCCTCTTGGGCGGCCTTGGAGCGCTCCAGCAGCCTCTGGAGGGTCGCCATCTCGCTGTCGGCCAGGGGGTCGCGCGCCTTGACATCCTTGGGGACCTCCGCGGCCGGCACCTTGGCCGGCGCTGCCTGCAGGGCGGCGGCGGCGGCGGCGCGTGTGTCGGTCGATTGCGGCGTTTTGGGCGCGGGGGACGCCGCCGGGACGGGGAGCCGCGCGGCCGCCGCCGCCGCCGCCGCTGCTGGCGACGGGGGCGGGCCAAAGTTGCGGGCGAGGGAGAGGGCGAGGCGGTTGCACATGCACCAGAATTGCTGCATGGCAGCGGCGATGGTGACGGAGAC